AATAAATTGTTTGGTTTTTCTATTTAGCCCCAACTATTTAATTAACATTACTGATTTATTATCAGAATTTTAGTTCCTGGGATTTCATAGCTTTGATCCTTAGCTGACATGAACAGGCAGGTTTTTATAAACTTCAGCTGCTCATCCATTTTAGACCTGGGGAAAGTTAGTCTTGAGTCTGAATCAGTATTGTACATCAGTATGTATTTTCATGCTCTGTTATCACTAGCATTAAAGTAGCACCTACAAGCCCAACATTTTGAAGTCTGGCTCTCCACATAATTAGCATTACCTGGTTTTGAGAGCTCTGATTTGCCAAGGCCCCAGGTAAGTCTAAAGCTCCTTCAGATCTAAGCTTGCAGCTCAGGTTCCAGCAGTCTGGCCCAGTCAGCATTTTAGGGATGAGCAAGTTGAATGCTTTTGCTTGTCTACCATCAGCTTGCTTTCTCTAGACCGTTATGCCAGCCCCCCCTTTCAAAACTTCTGGAAAGACCTGAGGTTTTGACCTCATTCACTACACAAGAACTCAGTCTCTGAGCTGTCAAAGAATCTCTGTGCAATAGCCCACTACCCATTTCTGTTGTTCATGTTTGGAAATAGCGCAAAAAAAAAAAAAAGTGCAGGATTAACACTTGTGCCAGTTACAAAATCTACAAAAAAACCCCTACCTGCTAGTCTGGTACAGACAAATCCAAACAAACTAAACCTAGATATCTAAAATTTACATTTACTCACAATACCTCCGTGTGTGGCTCATCTGGCTTTTGAGCTTTTAGGCTATATTGGAGGAAAAGGTTGCATTCTCAAGCCTCTGTTCTCAGCTGTAGTGCCCAGAAACTTCCTATTATTTTAAAATAGAAAAATACATTCTCATGTAAGGAATATGTTGCCATGCCAGTTGGCAGAGCTGTTGGTCTAGTCTTGTGATTATTAAGAAAAATGCCCTCACCTGTAGTCTATGTGAGCATACCTATTAGTTTCAGCACCAAATTGACTATTTGTTTCTTACTTGCTGAACACAGTCAAAACATATTATAAAATAAAGGAGATACATTTTTCATTAATTCCAAATTCATGCCAATGATTTCCTTAGTTTTATACATAATTCTTCCTGGTGTTTTCCCTACACCCTTCTGCTCAGTGCCACAGTAGAAGAGCCTAAAAATGAAATGGCATAGAAAGCGGATCAAACTACTTCATTATTGGAGTATTATTTGGAAAATTAAATAACTGTAATGGTAATGCAAAATATAATGGAAAATAAGTGAAATTATTCATATTTACTACCATTATAAAATAGATAACATTCAGTTTATTGTTCTGCAAGCTTGTCTGTGGACCTCAGACTGGGAAGTTTCCCATTCCTTCGTTACTGGGGAATGAGTTTGTTTCTGGCCTGTTTGGCATTCAACAGGATAAGAGTTCCTTCAGATCAGGCCCCATATATCCTGGCTCACTGCAGAATTCTTTCCTTAGAGCACCTTAGAAAGGGTTTCAAATGGCAAGCAATACCTTTGTGAAGATGCTCCTTGTAGACCATTGTTGTCAGGTTCAATGCATATTGCTCCTGGCAAATGGCTGATCTCAAATTCATCTGCCTTTCAGATGTCCTAAGAATAGAAGACTGATGTCTTTTTAACCAACTTACGAAAGAAAAATATAAAATGCTTTCTGACACTTGACATTTAATCTTGAGTTTATCTTTGTTTTCTAATGGTTGTTTGAAGCCAGAGGAGTACCATAGTCACATAAGTACACATTCCAGCACCTGCAATAAGCTACAGTCTTTTAAGTCTTTTTGCAACATTTCACCAAATTTACAGCTCCATTGAATGGTGTTTAACAGTCTTCAGATGAAGATTGTTCTACCATGACTGTCATAGGCTGGCTTTTGAAATGCACATTACCTGCCAGTTTCTTGACCTCAAAAAATAGAACTTAGTGAACAGTTAAGCCTTTAATTAAATATGTTCTGACAATTGTTTCAGTCACTGATAACTATGATCTTGTTTCTATTGAATTACAATTATAACATTGGAGTAAAAAAATTGCAGACTTTGTACTGGCTTGTTATATTTATAACATAATGCATACTCTGTTCTCTGTTATTTAACCATATTTGAAGCAGGATACTCTCCAGCCTGCAGAATTTTGTCTTGCATTCTATGAGTAAAATCCTTTAAGATGTCACTATCCATGTCAATACAAGTTTGTACTCTATTCTAAAGCAGATGGATAAATGTATGAACAAAAGGGGATGTCTTGGGTTCCAAGCATTGGGTATAAAATACTTACTGTTCCACTTGATCAGCTTTCAATCATGAAGCCTTGCTGAATCTTCTTTTCTTTCTGATGCAGATGCACTACACTATGGTGTCATAGATGAACCCTTTGCAACATCTCATTTCCTCAGTGTCCACCTTCAAGATCTAATAGCACTTCAGACAAGACTTTATTTTCTCCTGTGTCTCATGGAGTCTTGGCGCCTTCACGTCCCAGAAGTGGCTCCATTTAATGGCTGTGTCTCTATGCTAGTTCTAATGATGTTATATTGTACTTGTTGCCATAAACCATTCCATTTTCTAAAAAGCATTATTGCCAGTGCAGTACTAATCAACATGACTAAAAATGCGAGAACCTAGCCTATAGCTTCTAATATTCTCTGAAACCCATGAGTGTAAAATTCATAAATTAATTTAACTTAAATAAGTGGAAGGCATATCCAGCTAAAAATTATATTTTTGTCAGTTACAAGTATCCAGTGTGGAAAACACTACAGGTTACTGGGATAGACAACTTTAACTAAAAGATAATGGTTTCCACCCTTAAGCCCTCAGAGGCAACTCTGAATTAAGTCATAGACATGAACATGCAAGATCTTTATCTACAGGAGATATTTTGTAATCAATTTGAAATGGAATCTCTGAGTCCTCCAAAGAATCAAGTGCCTTTATAATATCTCAAATATTAAAGGAGAGACCTTTTTTTGGCAAGATGGAGGATACTTCATTTAATATTAAAAAAAGGCCAAAGTTCTGAGTGGCAGTTGGAAAAAGAGGTTGAAATCCAGACACTGAGATTAAACAATTGATGATAGTAGAAACATTATGTTATTTCGTGGACCTGGAACGACCTTTCAGTATCCTGGTGTCTGTGGTTTTCCTAAATATAGCATTTACAAAGACATGTCACAAACTTGATTTTATTGTCACTTAGCTACTATCTGTAATTACTACTGCAGCCATGTGTCATTTTTTGAATGCAGTTTTCAACTTTCAACAGCTTAATTTGCTTAAGGTAGAAAACATTATCTCATCTATTTCTGTTTGTTAGATAATGTATTTGTGCTTTATATATAAATCCACTATAATTTTAGCATACTCTGTCAAAATGTCTCAGAAAAAAATAAGGTTCCAGAAACAGTTTTTAGACAGACAACAGCAACAATGGCAGTCTAGTCCCTATAAAAGGAGAAACTGAGGCAGTGATGTTGTCCTAGTTTCACAACAATATGGAAAATTCCTGGCTCATGGTCATATATGTTAACACTTATACCCTGAAAGTTTGACTCAACTGATATTTAAAAGCAGAAAAAAATTCCAACTTTTCCTAGAGAATGTTCTCATTTATATTATACTATGGTCCTGACTTTCAATTTTGTTCCTAGTTTTGATGGCCAAGAATTGAGATGTTTGACTTAACTCTGGCAAATCTACATAGTAATTTATTCCTGTGACCAATCCTTTTTTAGGATTCTCTCCTCTGAAGTCAGTCTTGGGAGAGAAATCACATTCCAGAATAGCAATGCAGACACGTGGGATCTGTTTGATCTCTGCTTTTAGCCCAAAGTCTGTGTTTACTGGGGAGTGACTTGTTATGTTTTGATATAGTAATAGTAGTATTCCACAACCACTAAAACCTTGTCTAAAACAAGCAACCCTATTTTATTAAGAAAAACTATGCATAAATCCTTTTTAGATGGTTTTTGTAACCCAATTCCCAGGAAAAGAAAAATCATACTGCATAGGAAAAGATAGTATTATAGAAAATTGCTAACTAAGACACTGAAAATAGTTCAACAAATGAAAATAGCAAATCACTTAAAAAGAAAAAGGGAAAAAAAAAATCAGTCAGCTTTCAGGTAAGTCTGTATACAGTGTACTGTTGCACAAGTGCCTAATAATACAACTGTTGTAGCAGTGAACCTAACCTAGCTTGACAGTGCTAAACTATTGGGGCTTTTGTTTCAGCCAAGTTCTGAAAATTTAGTATGTAACACCAGGCAGAACTGCAACTTCTGGAATAAATTTACAACTTCAGAAGCTGGGCTCCTCTCCAGGGTGCTGATGCAACAGTGCAGTTCTGCTCTGCACTCCTGGAGCATTTGTTTATTAACTGGTTTCACTGATACAATTTTTTTTTAATGAATGAAGAATTAAGTGCAGAGGTTGACTGAAATCTACTTGGCTCATTGTAAAGTTGCTATGAAAAACAAAACAAAGTCCAAGCTCAAATCTCTGTCCAATATGCAGAAAGAGAAAAAAAAAAATCAAAACATAGTTTAGTATTTTAGGGTTGAGTCTCTCCTTTCCATTTCCTTCTGCTCTGGAAGTGATCAACAATGGCTTGTCTAGTAGAAAGTTAAAATGAATTTTCTGCAAATACAAACGCAAGATCATCCTCTTTTTATCCTTCCCAGCTCAAGCATTTATCTACCTATGGGGAAAAAAACCATGGCTAGAACATTGACCCCAAAGCTACCTTCTAATGGAATTGGAACTGAATTGCCTATATGATAAAAGGTCCCTTGCATGACAGAACAAATCATTACTCCAACATTAGTTTTCTTCAAAAGGTTGTTTACTCACATTGTGCATCATTAAATCTGTGAAGTTAGACTATGAACAGTTCAGACCTGGAACACGGGGTCTTCTTGAGAAACCTGGGGGATTGATGACTCACTAATGGCAGCAATGATAAAAACATAAATGCAAAGATCCATGGCAAAAATGAGCACTTCAAGCCATGTCACTGCCTCCCAGAAGAGCAACAACAGTGCCAGGTAAGTAGAATGAAAAATTACAGCCTTGAGATATTCATTGTGGGTTTAAGGCAGACTGCTCTCTAGGTAAAGACTCTGTCCAGAGACAAACCGTCCTACAGTTCCACTGAGAGGGGGCTCTAACATGAGTTCAGCTAGAGTTTTAGACATTATAAAACCTCCACAGAAAGAGGCCGCAGAAAAACAGATTTCGTAAATTCTGCTGTTCATGGATTTACTTGGCTTATTTTCATTTCTGTTAGCGCATCCTAGCTCTAATAAAGTGATTTTTAAAATCACTTATATTGAAATTGAATTTAAAATATTTTGTACAGTTTGAAAAGCAGTAACTTCTTAATATAGATCATAGTGGGCATGGTGGTGTTGGGTTGACGGGTGGACTCGATGATCTTAGAGGGCCTTTAAATTAGAGGTCCTCCAACCTCAATGATTCTATGATTCTATGATTCTATGATAAAGAGATCAAAATGTCAGATAATAATTTCTGCTTGATTTTTAAGTACAGAGCACTTGTTTTATATCATTAAGGACAAAATTGCTTTCTGAAATGAGTAGTTCTTAAGGCTTTTCCTCCAACCAACTTAGCAATGTTTCGTCCAGACTGATTCCACATTTGGAAAAGACTTCTGCACCCATTTTATAACAAGTCCATCATTTCTGGAAGATCAGTTACATTTAATCTACCGATCTCCTCCAGAAATTCTGTTGCTATTGCTTTGGGGCAGTACAGAACTCTGAGAAATGCACTCTTAAAATGTCCTCCTTACTCATCTACCAGAGGAGACGTCACATGGCTGGTTTATAATATCTAGATAACATTGACAAAATGCTAACCTTTCCAGCCATATTACTGTTAGAAGGAATATTCTTTTTTTGGTTAGGAAACAAGCCTATAAAATGTAGTCGTAAGATATAATCTCTATGCCTACACTGGATCCCATTAGAACTAGCATTGCATATATAACTTTTTTTCCCAGATGGTGAAAGCTTGAAGATTACCACATAAAGGCGGTTAAGTAAAGTTTTCAGAGGTTCATTTGTTTTGCTTGCAAAGTTTTCAGAGTGAAGTGATTGATGTAAAACTGAACTTCGGTCGTTCAAAAATGCACTGGAGTTTGTACTTTGATTTCTGAGTACTTTAATTTTTTACTTCTGCCACTTTAAAGTTTGAAGTGAGCTGCAGCAGACCACAGGACAGCAGAGCAACTTGAAAAGGGAGGCATTTTCCCAGTACTATATTCAGTTTGGGTTTTTATTTGGATATTGAAATCTCTCAATAGTCTTTCCAGCTACAGATATTATATGCTCTGCTACTTTAAAACCAAGAGGAGGTGTTCCCTCACCTACAGTGGTAAACGGATGATGCCGGCTATACTCAAAATCCGAATTCCTGTGTATCTTATCTACGTGTTTCTGTGTAATATTGTTATGGGGAAAATACTCCCTCTGAGCAGTGTACATTCCCCTCATGAAACTGATGGAACTAATTTTTTAGGGAACTGAAAATTTAAAATAATCAGCATTTGTCCAAGGGATGTTATATCAGTGTCTAAAAACGAATGCAGAATGAGGAATCCTGTCATCATACGTTTGAGAACGATGAATGAGAATTTTCACGAGGAACTCCCTTTACCATGGGAAAACTGCAGTGCATGAGAAGGCAGCACCGGATCGATCCTTCCTGCTCTCCCCGCTCTCTCCTGACGGAGTACGCGGCCCTGCAGCCGCT